TAGGTTCTGTCTGTATTTTCCCTTTCCTGTTGGAAAGACCATAGTAAGACTTGCTGTAGTGTTGTTTCTTCAGATTTCAGTTTTCTCCCATTGGTCCCTACAGCTCAAGGGACTCCAGGAATGGCTCCACCTCCAGCCCCTGCCACTGCTTCAGCCAGTGCTGGCACCACCAACACAGCGACCACCGCTGGTCCTGCTCCTGGGGGGCCTGCCCAGCCTCCTCCCCCTCAGCCTTCCACGGCCGATCTTCAGATCTCTCAGCTTCTGGGGAACCTCCTGGGCCCAGGAGGACCAGGGGCTGGAGGGCCTGGTATGGCTTCCCCCACCATCACCGTGGCCATGCCTGGTGTCCCTGCCTTCCTCCAGGGCATGACTGATTTCTTGCAGGTGAGTATACCCATATTAACTTACTTACCTCACCTTCTCTCTCCTCAGTCCAATCAGGCTGAAATACCTTGTTACTGTTATTAATCTACTGTACTACAGCCCCCTGGCGGCGTTCCAGAGTGGGATGCAACCCTGGGAATCCATTGACTGAGTCCTCAATTTAAAGATGAGGAAGTGAGATTTAGAGAACCGTGATTAGTGTCCCTGCTTTGTGATCTAACCTTCAGAAGGGAGAATTGTTCAGCCTAATCCTCCCATTGGACCCTGTTCAAAGACCAAATAACTCCCACCTTCCCAGACACCTGTTGGTGTATACCCTCCTGATGCCATTTTGTGTCCTTGTCCCCATTCTCACCTCATCTTCTGTTCTTTATTGTTTCTCTGTTTGCCAGGCAACACAGACGGCCCCTCCACCCCCTCCACCCCCCCCACCGCCACCCCCTGTCCCTGATCAGCAGGCCACACCCCCTCCAGGGTCCCCTTCTGGAGGTGCAGGGAGTCCTGGAGGCCTGGGTCCTGAGAGTCTGCCACCGGAGTTTTTTACCTCGGTGGTGCAGGGTGTGCTGAGCTCCCTGCTGGGCTCCTTGGGAGCTCGGGCCGGCAGCAGTGAGAGTATCGCTGCCTTCATACAACGCCTCAGTGGATCCAGCAACATCTTTGAACCTGGGGCTGATGGGGCCCTCGGTGAGCAAAAAGGGCATGCCTTGGTCTTCTTCAGGAAGGGGCAACCAGAAGACTAGCTGGCCTTTGCCTAAGGGGTGTTCCCAAGGTGGGCAGGTCAGGTGATAAAGACTGTTTCTGACTTTTGCCCCTTCCCCCAGGATTCTTTGGGGCTTTGCTCTCTCTCTTGTGCCAGAACTTCTCCATGGTGGATGTGGTAATGCTTCTCCACGGGCATTTCCAACCATTGCAGCGGCTCCAACCCCAGCTGCGATCCTTCTTCCACCAGCACTATCTGGGCGGCCAGGAACCCACACCTGGTAACATCCGGGTAAATGAAGACCCCAGGCCCCAGAGCCCTTTTTCTTCCTTAATCTTGACTCTGATCATCTCTTGTCAGCTAAAGCTGTGACTCCCCCGCTCCCATTCTCCCACCTAAACCATGGGGGTGACAGCAGGGAAGTGTCTTGAAGACTGGTGCTTGGGACTAAACTTATGTTGTTCCCCTGATAGACGGCAACCCACACATTGATCACTGGGCTAGAAGAATACGTGCGGGAGAGTTTTGTGAGTAGTTCGTTCCCCTTCTACTTAATCTTGTGATCTTCCCAGGGTAGCTGGTTTATCTTGCTCCCTCCTCAACTCGTCATTTCTCAGTGGTCCTGATTTTAGGATCTGTGTGTCTTGTCTGTCAGTCTTTGGTACAGGTTCAGCCAGGTGTGGATATCATCCGGACAAACCTAGAATTTCTTCAAGAACAGTTCAATAGCATTGCTGCCCATGTACTGCACTGCACAGGTCAGGGATGCTGGGCCCAGGTGTGTGCAGAGTGTTGGAGGGATAGGACTTCCAGGGGCCAGCATTCATTTCCTCTGTTGGTTTTGTCCACAGACAGTGGATTTGGAGCCCGGTTGCTGGAATTGTGTAATCAGGGCCTGTTTGAATGCCTGGCCCTGAACCTGCACTGTTTGGGGGGACAGCAGATGGAGCTTGCTGCTGTTATTAATGGCCGAATCGTAAGCATCACCCAGCCCTGCTTCCCAGTCTTCTGTGTCTCCATGTTTCTATTCAGTGTCCTGTAGTTGTCATGTTTCTTCTCTAAAGTGTCACCTTGTACCCTGGATGTAGCTTTCAGAGGCTGGTTGGGGTTTTGTTTATGGGGCTGGCCTGTGTGCTTTCCCTCAGCGCCGCATGTCTCGTGGTGTGAATCCGTCCTTGGTGAGCTGGTTGACCACTATGATGGGACTTCGGCTTCAAGTGGTACTAGAGCACATGCCTGTAGGCCCCGACGCCATCCTCAGATACATTCGAAGGGTTGATGACCCCCCACAGGTAAGAGCCCTAAGGCATAATGGGTTCTAGAGACTTGAGGGAACTAGAGAGATCTGAGAAGGCCTTTTGTATTGGTTTCTGTTTAATTCCACAGGCACTTCCTGAGGAGCCCATGGAAGTTCAGGGAGCAGAGAGAACAACTCCTGAGCCCCAGGTACCAGGGAAAGGTTGTATGGATAATGGGGAGGGCTAGGAGAGGATAGAGGATAAGTGGAGGCCGAGAATGCTGAAGCTTAGATTTCCTGCTTTCTGACTTCCAGCGGGAGAATGCTTCTCCAGCCCCAGGAACAACAGCTGAAGAGGCCATGTCCCGAGGTCCACCCCCTGCTCCTGAAGGGGGCTCCCGAGATGAGCAGGATGGCGCATCAGCTGAAACAGAACCTTGGGCAGCGGCAGTTCCTCCAGTAAGTGTCAAGAGGTGACCTGGTGGACTAAGGCAGCTGAGAGTTGTAGGAATCACTACTTTCTCCACTTATTTTCCTCCCCAGGAATGGGTTCCTATAATCCAGCAGGACATTCAGAGCCAACGGAAGGTGAAACCGCAGCCCCCCCTGAGTGATGCCTACCTCAGCGGTATGCCTGCCAAGAGACGCAAGGTTGGTTTGCCTTTTCCCTTAGGATTCCTCTTTATCCAGAATTTCCCGTCATGCCTGGATTTAACTTAAAACTGGTCAGAGCTGGAAGGAATGCTTTCTCATTCCGTTCCCTCTCATTGATGAGGACACCATGGGACTCATAATTGTTTCTGGTTCTTCTGTAACCACACAGGACTTTACCTGAGTTTGTTTCTAATAGTCCTTAGTCCCTCAGCTTCCTAATCAACAGGTGACTGGCCCATTTTCCTTAAGGAAGGGTTCTCATGTGGTGGATTAGCAAGCCTTGAATCCTGGATGGCTTGGCCCATCCTGTCCCTCTTTATTTTGAAAAGCAAGTTTAGCACATTTTGGCTAGAGCCAAAAAGAATTAGGAAGGCATTACACTGTTGTCACTCCCACCTGTGGATTACTTCCCTTTGATTGACTCATGGAAAGGGTGAGCTGGGTGGTGGCATTGGATCTGACGTTGATCCTCTTTTCCCTCCCCAACCTCCTGTCCCCCAGACGATGCAGGGTGAGGGCCCCCAGCTGCTTCTCTCAGAGGCCGTGAGCCGGGCAGCTAAGGCAGCCGGAGCTCGGCCCCTGACGAGCCCCGAGAGCCTGAGCCGGGACCTGGAGGCACCAGAGGTTCAGGAGAGCTACAGGCAGCAGGTGCCCCCATCTTGAAGCAGAATAGGGATGGTCTAGTGGGAGGGGTTGGGCTAGGGTCCCTTCTCCCCATTCCTTTAGATCAACTGGTTCGTCTGGGGGTACCACTTCTTTTTCCTAGTGGTATTGGGAAGGCCTATTGGGCTTTTGACAGCCTGTGGCTGGTGGGGAAGTGTTAGCTCCTGAGGGATGGCCTTGTGTACTTGCTGGGATCAGAGTCTCAGCCAGTGCTCCTCCAACTTGTGTGCTCTCTTTCTCTAGCTCCGGTCCGATATACAAAAGCGACTGCAGGAAGACCCCAACTACAGCCCCCAGCGTTTCCCCAATGCCCATCGGGCCTTTGCCGACGACCCCTAACTCTTTGCTCTGTGGCCCTGCCTTACCAGGGGACCGTTTTTCCCTTTTCCTTCACAGTATTTAAGAAATAAAGGTCGGATTTTCCTGGCTTTTTGGCCTCGTGTTTTCATTAGTTGGAGCCCCTTAGTCTTATATGAAACTTGAATATACTCCCTAGGAACAGCATATTGGGCATGCAAGGTCAGCAGTTTTATGTCTCTGTGGGAAAAAGATGAGGCTTTCTGTTCCCTTAAATTTAGTCTCAGAAATGCTATGCAAGGTTGCTGAGTCAGAACCAACTTAAAGCACATTAAGAGAAACTTTGTCTTAAAGAGCCCTGGTGGTTCTGTGGATTAGGCATTGGGCACCTAACTGCGTGCAATCAGCAGTTCAAACCTACTTAATCACTTTGGGGGAGAGATGAGGCCTTCCACTCCTGTAAAATTTAGTCTCAGAAATGGTATAGGGTTAGTCAGCATCTACTCTAGCAGTAGGCTCATTCAAGTTTCAATAGCTGGACATATTTTCAAGAAGCTTTTAGTGCAAAATCTTTGCTACTGACTGGTCTATATCCACTTCATGGAGGTCCACAGATCATGTGCTTGGATGGTGAGGCAACAGCCACTCTAAAAAAAGGCTCCTTAGCACTCAAAGCTTGTCACTGGGAACTACAAGGGTATGTATATGCAAATTCTTGCTAATTCTGGACCTATAATTTTGCAGGGGACATTTAGGAGAACTAAGGATGTCACTCACAACCATGGACTGAGGGGCAAGTAGAGTTCCCTCCACCTTCTTGGTATTCCAGCTGGCAAGGTCCTGGTCATTTGAGTGAAGCCCTATAGGAGGCACCCAGAAAAGCCCTGCTACACTGGGTTTCGGGTGCTTGCAGACGAAGCAGAGCTGTCTGGGTTTCCCAACCCATGAAACGTTAAAACAATAGTTGACATTTTAAGGTAGTTTGTTACAATGTAACTGGAATCAAAATAATTCATAACAATGCAAACCCATCCCCCAAATCATTTTGAAAAAAACTTTTTTAATCCTTTTATTATTATTTTTTAACAAACGGCCCCAGGGATAGGGGGTCAGGGGAAGGGGGAGGAGGGGAAGCAAGGCTCCAGCCCCACAACCCCTCCCCACCCACCCCTTTCCCCCTTATATATTTATAATCTATATACAAGCCCCAGGGGGGGGGGCAAGGGGAACAACCCCCTCAGCGGGGTGGGGGCAACCCAGGCTCCTTGTCCCCTCGGGATCCAGGTTCCTCTGTTCGTCGAGAGGGCCCTTCTCGAGAAGGTGGCCCTGTCCGCTCCCAAGGCTTCGGCATCCAGCGCAGGGCATCCGGTGGGGAGGCCTGAGTGGAGGCAGGAAATATGGAAGCGTTAAGTCATACTTGGGAGAGTAGTGATGGAAACTCAGGTAAGAATTCTTGGATTTAGGTTTAGGGCTACAGGATTTCAGATTTACCTGCTGGTAGAGGTCAATGCGCTGGGTGCGGAAGACTCCGCTGTAGGTGGAAGGTGGGGCCTTGAGCCGGGAATTGAGGCCAGAGAAGGGCCTAAGGGAGAAAGGACGTTTAAAGCAAGCCTAGGACTTGGCCCCTAGGGCTGAGAAATCCAGAAACTGGTTCCTCCAAGGATACAAAGTCCTTGGGGATGGAATTGGCATCCCCATTCTCATCTCTTACCTTCCAGCTGGGGAAGTACGTGATGACCCAGGTCCCCCCCCAAGGTTGCTGCTTAGTTTTCGATAATCCTGGTACGGCTTTAGTTCCACTGGGTGCAGCTAAAAGAAAAAAATTCTCAACCCATGCCTTCCCTGTTTTTGTTTTAAAATTTTTACTGTGAATTGGGTAAAGGTTTACAGAAAAGACCATCTGTTTTACATTCAATAATTCATGCATTTTGTTTTCATTTCACTCATTACAATCTCTTGTATGTAACATCACTTGTCCCCACTTTCTCCCTGTTTGTTTCCATTCCTCCTTTTTACCTAATGACTCTGAACTTTGTTCTGGGGCAAAGGTTGTTAAGTGCCATCAAGTTGGTTCTGACCCGTAGCAACCCTGTATAGTAGGGTTTCCAAGGAATGGCTGGTGAGCTTGAACCACCGACCTTGCAATTCAAACGTCAAAAAATACTGCCCTTTTAATCTCAAAAGGCTGATTACCTCACCGATCTTTGGCTGAGAGTTCAGGTCCAGACCTGCAGTGTAACTACAGGATAGTCGAGGGTTCCACCAGTCTGTTATCTGATAAATATGATTTTTTTTTTTTTTTTTTTTGTAATGATTTCCAGTTATTCCACATTTTTCTCCCACTCTTGTTATAGGAATTTCTAATGTGACTTGGTTGAAGGTTACAGAGCAAATCAAATTTTCCATCTAGCAATTAACACACACACACTCATGCCTCAATACGTGCATTTCGGAGATACTGAGTCACTATCCCCAACTTAAAACTTTAAGTTAATTCTGCCCCAGTTCCTGTATCTTACCTCTGCTCGCCCCAAGCTTGGGGGGAAGGGCCTGGCAGGTGAAGGCAGCACCCGAGGAGCAGGAGCAGGTGGTGGCCGCACGGTCAGGCTGGGGGGTTGCAAAGCAGGGCCCACAGGTAACAGAGAGAGGGGGGGCGGGGCAGGAGGTGGCGCTGGCGGCAGAGAGCCAAAGTTCACCACAGGCAGCTGTGAGTCCACCATGGGCAGAAGCATCTGTGATGAACAATTGGAGTATGTGTTGGAGATAAGGGAAATGTGTCAGAGAGCCAGGCCACAGAATCAAACCAACAACAAAACAAAAGGAAGAAAGCCAAAACTGGAGGAGAAAATGGCAAGGAAAGGAAGTAGAAAACAAAAGGTACCTGCTGAGCTGGGGCACCTGAAGGGAGAAAGCCATTTTGGCCACCAGGTTGCAAAGGAGTAGAGTAAAAATCCGAGGGGGATGGCAGATCCTGGCGTACCTATTGGGAAATGGAGAAACATTATCAACTCCCCTTAAAAGTATATTTCCTATCCCCTCACTCCCTAACCTTAGCAGTACCTGCTTACTTCTTACCTGAAGCAAGGGTGGGTCAGGCAAAGGGCTGGGACAGAAAGCTGGAGAATAGAGAAAGGAAGGTGGAGGATAGAGAACGCTTCCAGCCGGCAACTTCCCCAGTTCTGTTGCTTGCAGGGCTGAGAAATCCAGAAACTGGCCCTTGAGAGCTACTCCAGAGAGCAGTGCTGAGGGAGGGGCTGGGCCCGGGGGTAGGTAGAGGGGCTGTGACCTGAAAAGGCAAGAGAGGGATACCAGTCAGCTGACAAAAACTCAGGAAGTCAGAGCCATTTCCTCCCTTAGTTGGCACCCTATAATCGACCTTTTCTTCTCTCCCCCCACTTCCTTCTGAGACCCATAGGCATATATACTCCTTACCTGTAGGGGTGCAGTGAGGGTGTTCCAGGGCGGAAGCCCCCATTGTTGGGATGTAACTGAGAATCTATGGATCCCCCAGAGACCTGCAAGAGAACAGGGCTGGAAGAGCTCCAGGTTTTCTGGTCAAGAAATGCTCACCCAGCCTACCCACTTAATTAAAAGAAGGACAAAAATGGGAGAAAAAAACAAAAAACACCCCCCATGTTTTAAAGCTGAATAACTTAAAAGGGTTTAATGATGAATCAGCAGGCAGAAGAGTAATTATTGTTTGAGGGTTCACAGGATGGGGCATGGGGCCTACCTGAGAACCTGGTGGCCCGGGGCTGCCATAGAAGACCTCAGGGTATAGGCGTTGGCCTGAGGAGCTGGGCTCGGGGCCACAGTGTCCAGAGCCCAAATTTTTGGATTGTGGCTCAGCAGAGGCAGAGGCACTAGGGAGCAGCTCCCAATCTCGGGGTATGGGGATGGTCTGGGAAGGAGAAATCTTGTCAAGAGGGCACCAGGACATCCAGATCATTACCAGCAATCTCCAAACATCAAAGGCCTTTCCATCAACCCTTACGCTCCTACTCACTTCAGTGACTGACGCTGTTAGCTCCTTCTCTGCTTTTAAATTGTCTCCTACCACCAGGCACAAGTCCGAGTCCTGGGTCATGAGTAAGAGAGATTGCTCCATGATTCTGACACCTGTCCTGTGTCCAAACCCTCCCCAGGCCTTCCCCTTCTCTACCCAACCCAGGATGCCTACAGATCTAATCCACACAAACCTTGTCACTGGTGCCAAACTGGACTGGGGGGCCAGGTCTATGGGATGACCGGAGGAGACCAGACTCTGGGCCTCGGTCTATACGCTGTGATCGTTCTGTGCCAATGGGGCCAGGGGGCAGAGGCTGCTCCCGAGGCAAATCCTAGGTTGAGGGATACAGAATGTAGAGTCAGGGGAAGCCAAAATTAGGGACCCCCAAAACAGGCAGATAGAAGAGAAAGGTGACAAAGTAGAGGTCAAAGTCAGAGTCCTGGAAATACTTATCTTTACCTTTCTGTCCCCATCATGGGGGGCAGCTGGCCGTCTCCTAGGAGGTTCAGAGGGTTCAGAGCCAGGTGGACCCTCACCAGAAACAGCATTCAGGGGTGAGGGGCCTCCAGGTCGTTTGGGGGGCCCCTCTGCTGCCCCCTTGAGTCCTCCATCGGGGGAACTTCGCTGGCTGCAGGGACCTGATGACACCTGAGAATCCCCACTCAGGTCTACTCCACTGTCAGATTGACTCATCTGAGGAGAGGAGGCAGAGTTAAGTCAGCAGAAAACACCCCATTATACCTGCCCAATCCAAGCTTGCAACAGACATACACAAACTAAAGGAAGGAGGAAACCATGTAAGGTAGCAGACTCAATCCAAACAGGGGGAGAAAATATGGCCGTTGTTCCAATAAATCCCATCTCCAGACAACTAGATACGCCCCTTCCTAGCCTCACTCACTTCAGTGCCAGCCACGTCTTCAAAGGGGCTCAAGGGTTCCATCCAGGGCTCCACGGAGCCAGGCTGGTAACTCTTCCGGTTTGTGGCTAGGGAGGAAAGCACCAAGCAGAAGAGAGGAAGTAAGACACTCCTGAAGCCCATTTCTCACACCAATCCCCTAGTTCTGCTCCACTCAATTTTACTCACCAGAATGTAAACGATTCCATATGTGAGGGGTCAGGGTCTCAGTGCCTGCATCTCTGGTCTCTCCCCGAGGGCCTGGCCCCTCAGATTTAGGGCCCAAGAATCCAGAGTTATGAGAAGATGGCAAGGATTCCTAAAGGTTAAGAAATGACAAAGCCAAGATGTGTATTCGAGAATTAGGGAATGCTGGAAGCCAAGTGTGGGAACAAAAGGAGCACACACATAAGAAACAAGCAGTGACAAGTAATGAGAACACACACACAGGAATGAGTGTAAAGGTAGCCAGGAAAAACCCCCAGGAAGCCCCTCTCTCACCTCCTGTAGCAGCTCTGGTTTCCTGGGAGGCCGTTCACGCCGTTTTTGGGGGAAAGGATTAACCCCAGCAGTGTCCCGGGGAGTCCCGGCCATTCCCCTCACCAATGGCCCTGGCTCCTCGAAGTGGGGGTCTGGGGCAAAGGACAAACTGTCAACTGCCTTGCTCTATTTCTGACCCTGTGTCACACCTTCCCATGGCACAATACAGACATCTAGCAGGAAGAGCTCCCAGGACAGACACCCAATGCTCCCAGCACCTGGCCATAGACTTCCCATCCTTCCCACTTTCAGCTTACCAGTACTAACACCATTGCTGTTGGCCCTTTGGGGGTCATATCTGGTTGGGAGTCGAGGGGAGGGACCCTGAGGGGTTTGGGGAGGCCCAGGTTTGGGCCTTGGGTGCCCTCCAGGTGCAGCTGCACTCCCTTGGCGATTGCTGAGCTGGGCCAGAGCCTGTTGGATGCCAGCAGGGTTGCTGTGGATAACTTGGTCCAGGCGGAAGACAGCAGAACTGCTAGGGGGCGGGGGAGGCAGAGGAAGCCCCGGGGGCCGCTCCTCTGGAGGTCGGCTGCAGAGAACAGAGCACCAGCTCCAATATTCACTACAGTGCTACCCTACGTTTCCACTACAGGCTAAGCTGTCTCATTCTGCTAAAATTAAGTCTTCATCTTCCCTCTCCCTTCCAACCTGTACCATTCTGTTAAAAATTAAGGTTTTAGAACCATTCTCTGAATTTCTACACAATGGAATGTTGTAACAGATGGGTATTCCTCACGATAACAAATGCTTTCCAATTACTTTACCTAGAAATGGGAACCTTAAGTTTCCAATGAGTCCACTTGTCCTTGTACCTCAAGGCCCAGTGCCCAACATTTTTCTCTCCCCAACTTTAAACTCTGGGAATCATCTTTGATCTATCCCTACTCACCTTCGGTTCTTTGGAGAGGGCCAGCTCCTCTTGTCGCGTCCTGGGCCGGTCCTCCCCCCAGGGCCCCCGCCACCTCCACTGCCGCTAGTCTTGCCCCCTGGGCCTGGCCGGCGATTCTGCCGGTCCATGCCAGGTCGCTGACTGGAGAAGCTCCGCTTGCTTAAATCCTTGGCTCTTTGACTCAGGTCTCCACGGGGCATAGTTGAAATGCCTGGTCCAGCTCCGCTTCCACTGCCCCCAGGAGCTCCCACAGCCTTGGGAGTCAGTAGCACTAGCGGAGCCTCCTTGTCCCGACGCTCACTAGCAAAGTCACTGCTCTCTGATGCAGTCTCCCATTCCTCATTAGCTTGGTCTGAGTTTTGGTTCGATAGATCAGGAGACTTGGCAGCTGCCCGGCGAGGTGGTGGGGGCACTGCTGTTGCCAGGGCCTCCTCAGGTCCTGAAGTAGAGGCTGGCAAGGCCAGGGAAGAGGGCTTTCCCTCAGCCCCTCTAGCAGCATTTTCTCGCTCCTGTTTCAGCCTCCGGAAACGAGGTGGTTTGTCCTGCTGCTGTGCTCTACCATGTCGCCTCCTCCGGGGCCGATCGTTGTCTTCCACACTCAAGCCTATGTTGCTGCCTCCACTATTGCCTCCCCGGGCCAAAGGGGACAGAGGCCCTGGGATCAGCTTTTCTTTTAAAGGCTCCTTGTTTGGTTGCAAAGGGCCTACTGGAGGCTTTTTGGGGGTTAGAGACTTTGTGGGAGGGCTCCAGCCTGGGCAAACAGTAGGAGGGGGCCTCCCTCCCCCTCGGCCACGGCGTGATGGTACCCCTCTAGGAGTGAAGACTCTCCCACCCCTGGCAGTGGAGAAACGGGCTGGGGCTGGTGAAAGGGGGGCTCCTGGTGGTTGGGGAGCAAGAGGGGCCTGATTAAGTACCCCCTCCTTGGGTGGGGGGGCCTCCTTGTCTGAGGGAGCCAGGTCACTTTCATGTGTCTCACTGCCTGTTTCTGAGCCCCGCTGCCTGCGCCGCTTGGGGATTTCTTCATATTCTGAACCCTCACTTCGCGTCTCACTGGCAGTACGGCCTCGGGGTGCAGGGGGGTGATTTGGTCCCCCTGTCCCACCTCCCCCCCGACCATCATCTCCTCGAAATTCTCGGTAACTGCGGAACTCCCGGCTTCGGGCCCCCCGCCCTCGTCCCCCATAGGTTCCCCGAAAACCCCTCCCTCGGGCAAAGTACTCGCCCCGGCCCCGACCCCGGCAAGAGGCCGGACCCACCCTTTCATAGGAGTAGTCCCGCCGGAGCCTTGGAGCAGGGGAAAGATTTCCAATGGATGTGGGCTCCTTGGGCCCCCCCACCTTCCCCTTGGTTGTCTTGAGTGGGTCTGGCTTTGGAACTTTGGGGGTTTCATCCCCCTGTTCAAGGGGCTTGGGAGGCAGCTCTTCAACTTTTGTAGGTGGTAAGGGTTTCTTTATAGGCCCGGCTCGGCGAGGAGGGCCCCCTGGCTCCTCAGGTGGGATGCTCCGGCGACTGCTGCCTGGTCGAGGGCCCCACCGGGTCTCTGTGCGGCTCTCTCTGCGTGGTGGCGGAGGGCCTTGGCTGCCTCCTCCAACCCCACGGGAGGGTTTTCGTCCTACTTCTGGCCCTGTCAACTGTGGAGTCTCCTCCTTGGGGGGTTCCTTCTTAGGCGGTGGAGCTTGTATCTTGGTTGCCTCGTCATTGCTTGGGGGCCAGGGGAGCGGCCGGGGCCCTGGAGGAGCTGATTCCTCCAGAGGAAAGCGAGAGATTGCGGGCCCAGGAGCTCCATTCTCAGGGAAGCCTGGGTAGCTGGCCAGATAGGGTGGGGGTGGAGGCCCGGGAGGGGTCTCACTCCTGAAGAGAAAGACATTAAAAAAAAAAAAAAAAAGAGTTACCTCAGCAAGTGGAAACTAGAACTAAGTGGGAGAGAAAATTATTTATTATAACTTAAGACACTTCTTTTTAGTTCACGCTGACCATCTAACCAGTAATGCAAAGTGCCCTTTTCTCCTGGGCACTCCCAGATCCTTTCACTCGGCCCATGCCTACATTTCTCCAGACTTACCTTATACCCTTGTCATCCTCATCTGCAGCCTGGCGAAGGGGAGATGTCAGTGGGCGGGGATCGGTGGTAGGTGTGGTGGCAAAGACGTCTCCTACCCAGGCCAATTTTGGGTCCACTGGTGGGGTACCCCGTTCCCGGAGAAGGGGGGGCACATGACGTTCAAATGGCTCTGAGCTTGAGCCCCCGCTATCTGAGCGCTCCCGGGGAACTAAGCCTTTGAGGGGGGGGGAAAATTTAAAATTATTTTCTTCACAGTCCCTTTTGTGCTCCTATCTAGTTTCTCCATCTCTTGTTTCCAATAAACTTGGGTCTTATGCTGTATGAGAATACAGCAGAATTAAGCATTCAATTTCCTTTAAAAAAATCAGTCTCTCCAAATACACTCTTACCAAAGAATCCCAATCCCTGCTTACTTCCCCTGAAACCCATTGCCCTGTCAAAGAACTATCTTGGTAGGATTAAGAATATGCCCTCTTCACTGGAAGCCACATTTCCCCAGTGATACTCCTTACCAGAGGGATGCACACCAGGAGGGTAGAAGTCCAGAGGGGGTCGGCCCTGGAGGAGCCGAGGGTCCACATAGGGAGGAATCATCATCCAGCGGGGATCAAAATTCATCGGGGGCATGGGTGGAGGCCGGCCTAGAGCACCTGGGTACAGGGCCTTGGGGGGCGGTGGTGGGGCCTGTGGAGCTGGCACGGCCCCTATGGTTACAGGCTGTGGTGGTGATGGGGGCACTGGGGCAGGTGGAGCAGAGCTCTGTTGGTGCTGCTGCCACTGTTGCTGCTGTTGCTGCTTCAGGAGCTGTTCCTGGGAAAGAACAGTAAGCCTGGTTTAAAAGTCAACTGATACAGCTAAGATAAACTGGGACCCAGAGGACACTTAAAGAGCTGAGCAAATGCTGCTGAAGCCAGGGAGAGGAAGCCCTAAGGAAGGAAGGCCCTTACCTGCTGCTGTCGCTGGAAGCGAGGAGGCAATGATTTCTGATATTTGGGGTAGCCCAAACCCTGGCTGAGGGGCTGCCGAGTGGTGCCAACTCCATCACCCTTGGGTTCCAATTTCGGAGTCGGGGGTGTAGCTGGAGGAGGAACCTCTTCTTGTGGTTCAGTACCCTCTTTTGAGGGCAATTGGGATTCCACTGCATTGCAGAAAAGAAAATACTCAAAATGGCCTAGTCCATCAACAGACATTCCATGACTATAGGCATTTCAGCTTTCACCTCCAGTTCCCTCTCTGAAGACTGAGGAACAGTAAAGCCTTGTGCCCAGTTAAGATCCACGAAAACATTTTATGGTCTCTCTCCAGAGCCAAAGGTTGTGGCAATAACTTCCTACGAAGCCACCAATATAACACATACCACTATTTGTACCACTCTAGGAATTTGGAAAGTGGTTTTAGGTCACTACTTATTCTGGAACCCAGGTACTAGAACCTTCTAAGACACGTGACACGTACATGTGGTTTCCAGTCCCAAAAAGAAAAAAACAAAACTACTGTTCTTTAATTTATCCCCCCCCCCCGTAACTTCATTAAAATAACACCTGGTAGCACCCATTCCCACATCACTGTACCTGGGATGCCTTCGAAGCTACCACTGCTGGGACTACTGCTGCTGCCACCACCACTCATGAGGGTGGGAGCTGGAGCCACAGTGCAGGTGGGGGTGGACTGGGCAGGAGCCAGCACTGGCTCTTCAGGTTCTTTCTCTGGTGTTGAGGCTGGTGCTGGTGGAACCGGAGGCGTGGGGGTTTCTTTGGGGACTGCAGGAGGTGGAGCTGGGGTAGGTGAGGCAGCAGGAGGGGCAGCAGGCTCTGCCTTGAGTCGCTTATCAGGTGCCCCAAACTTCTCATCCAGCCGCTTGAGCTTCTCAGCACAAGCTGCCCTGCGCTCTTCCTGCATGCGGCGTTCCTCCTCTTCCCGTCGGCGCCGGGCCCGCTCCACAGCCAGGGAGATCTCAGATGATGACTGCTTCCGTCTCTGCCGCCACGCCTCATCCTCATCTTCGGGTGCAGGGGGCTTGCAGGGAGGGCCCCCACGATCCTGTCAACATACAGACCAGGCAGAGCCTCTAGCTGTCGGTTGCAAGGACTAGGCCCCTGAGTTTGTGGCCTTTCTGAGAATGGTCAAACTCATCACTCACTTATTCCTCCATTTTCAGGTACCCAAACACACAAGCCTCATTCTTCTTCCTCACTATCATCCTAGTTAAGTCTTCCATTTCCCCCAGACTTGCTTAATAACACATCCCAAACCTTTGCAGAGATGGTCTGCTGCCCCTACACTATAGCAGCCCACTTCTAACCCCAGTCCCCCAGCTTACTATTGCTTCAATTACTCAGAAATAACGTTCATTTCCCACAACTGACCCTCTCAACCCTCATTGTAGACACTCACTGGGTAGTCCCCAGGGGGGCCCCAATTCCCGGTGGGGCCCCTGTGAGGTGGGGGTGGGGGAGGCTTTGGGGCAGAAGGCCCTGGCTCTGTCTCTGAAGGCCGAGAGGTTTCTGCCCAGGCCGTCTTGGGAGGGGGCGGTTCGCTGCTGGGGGAGTTGCCCTTTTTGCCATCTGCTTCAGGGGGCCGTTCCTCACCAGCAACTGATTGGGTGTCCTTGCTGTGAGCAGACCAACAGTGGAATTAAAAAGGTGTAGCCCAGCAACTAACAAGAGAAACTGAGCATCCTCCTCTCCCCACATGGTCCTAACTCACTGGCCCTCAACTCCCTCTTCATCCGAGTCGCGCCCATCTTCCTCGTCACTGAACTTCAGCTTTTCAGTGTAGTCGACCTCCTCATGAGCCCCTGAGGGAAAAGGTGAAGAATATTATTAGCTTTTACGGTTGCTCTGAGTCAGTACTGACTCAATGGCACCTAACAACAACAGTCTACTCTCAGATATTCCCTGGGACTCAAGATCTATAGATCTGTAACTATAATGGGATGCAAACCCCTCGCTGAAGTCTAGATCCATGTCTCTTAGCCTTAGCACATCCCATTCCCATTCTCATTCCTCTCAGCACTTTGCGAGGGCTTGGATTTCCTGGAAGTGAACTCACCTGCCTTTCCCCATACCATCCCCCTTTTTTTTTCGCCCACCAGATTCTGCCTTTTAAGATATAAATTCTTAACTTTTAATACTTACCTGCCCAACCATCATCATTTTCCTGGTCCAATTGGTCAAACTCTTTGAGATTATCCTCTTTAAGAATGGAAGGCCGACCAACAGGCTCTACCAGGCGCATTGGTGGCCCTGAGCCCCGGGGGCCTGACACACGGGGAAAACGACTATATACAGAAAGGCAAATGAGAAAGTAAAGATGGCATGTTGTGTACTGCGATATAGCACTGGGTCTCCTGGCTAGAGAAAACCATCTCCTCCCATATCCTCAACCAAACTCAGACCTGGATTACTCACCTGGGCCCATCAGGAGTGGGATATCGGTAAGGTCCCTGGGGTCCATAGGGTGGAGGGAATGGAAGATATGGGGGGTACATCTGCAAAAGAGCCCAAGAGGAGCTTCTCAAGAGAATAGTCAAATAAGTCTTCCAGCTCCCTAAGCCTGAGATCCTTCCCCTCACTCTATGAACCCCACCAGGCTCCCAGTTCCCAATTGTCCCCTCCTCTAGAAACTAAGTCCTGAATTCCAAAATTCTAATGCAATCATGCCAAAACAAGATATCCAAACTCACGAATGGCGGCATCATTCCGCGGTAGGGAGGGAACTGAGGTGGGCCTGAAGGTTGCAACCCACCCCGGGAGTCATGGCCATGATGCAGTTTGGAGTCCGGGCCCTCCAGCTCATCAGGGCCACGCCCACCTCCGTCCCTCCAAGTTGTAGAATCTGTATTTTGGAAATGATAAAAGAGAGACCGATGATTCAGAGGTAGAACTGAAAATTATGAGAAAAGTGACTACACCAGAATTCGGTTTTGAAATAGAATAAGGGACCATAACTTGGCCAAGAGGTAATGGTATAGGCGAGTGAGTTTGAAGCACAAACAGTGGCCACTTACTTTGGGGGCGGAGGCTTGGTCCGGGCCCAGACGACTGTTCGGCAGAGTCCCTTTCCTTGGCAGCCTTGTCCTGGTCTCCAGCCGCCTGCAGGGTCGGAAATTCCTCTCGAGAGAATCGTGACAGTAGGCTTGATGCCCTTCCACCTGTTGGGGTGAGGGTGCAGAACAGGAGAGAGTACTATGTCTACTTAGGAGGCACCACAAACCATTTAGCATCTAGCCTTCAAAACTACCCCCTACACATTCCCCAAGCAGCAAGATTCGTTCTGCAACAAAACTTCCCAAACAGCCCCATACTCACCATCTCCGTGTGCTCCATGGGTGACGCTGGCTTGTGCCCAGGACTTTACCCCGCTTGGAACCGAAGGAGTGTTCTGGGGAAGCAGAGGGATAATGAGTAGTGGTGGAGCTACAAGCTCACCACCCCAGTCCTTATTCAATAATATCCACTTCTCCTCTAAGTACCTCGGGGGTTGCTGGGGGTCGTTTCGGCTGGTTGGAGGCAGGCGTCTGTGAAGCCGGCAGTGGCTGCGATTCCGGCGGCTGAGCGGTTGAGGCATCGGAACTGAGGGGATGGTAGGATGGGAAGGTTATCCAAAGACTCAAGATGTCTCCCCTACTAATAGAGGGTGGGGACTGAAACCAGGCCCATCCGCTTCCACTTATATACCCTAGGACAAAATACTATAACCTTGTCACCCTGCATAGGCTGTCTTCTGTTTCTTCATGCTTTCTCTCCATCTATGACAGAAAGCTAAAGGTACCATTCCTTAATCATGTAACAGAAGACCCAGAATAGGGTGAAAGACCTCTCTGCTTCTTATGCAGCTGGGCTAAGCCAAGCCCCTACTCACCCTGAAGTTCAAAGTTAAGACACTCATCACTTTAGGTATCCCAAGCCCTGTCTACCTCTTGGGGTCGGACTGCTCCTGTTTGCTTGCCCATCCTGTCCCGTCTTTCGGCACTAGTGAGACGTTGGGATCATTGCCTTTGTTCTCGGCTTTCAGGCTTGGAAGGTTGGCTGGGGGTGGCATACGCCGGGCAATTGCAACTTTCCCAAGACTTTGCAGGCCATGGCGAGGGGCAACTGGAGAAAAGGTGGAGGGTGTCAAATGTCTCCCATGGAAAATGTGACAGTCTCCCACCCTATGTCCTGTTTGCACATCTTGAATGTCTTATTACCCACTCATTGCAGACTTCTCTTAGAAGTCATACGTTCCCATGCCATTGACAAATCTCTAAGATGCCTACTGGAAAGGCAGAGACGCATTACATTTAATGTGGGATGGGTGAGCTTGAGCCTGTGAGTAGCAAACTGGCCCGAGACTTCTCCAAGTCCACATTTCTTTGCCTCCAATTCTTACGTGTCCAAGGACAGGGAACCACAGACACGCCTTTGTAGGAGGACAGCTGGAATTCACCCACAGCCCAGCAACCCTCACAGGACCCAAAGTGAAGTTGGGAAGTCTCTAGTACTCCCCTGGTCTTTTAGTATCTCTATTATTACCCTGTTTCCCTTCAAAGAACTGGAAAATATATACCCCATTTATGCTTAAATTCCAGTAATTAGGAGCATCTTTGCAGGGCCCTCACCAGCGGGTTTCTGGATCTCTAAGGACTTGCCCTTATACGTATCAAACAGGTTGAGCGAGGAATACTTCTTTCCATCCTTCCCCTTGGCAGTCGGCCCCGAGCGATCGGACATTGCGCTGGAAGCTCATTGAGTACGTTGGGTCCTGCAGGCACCTCCCCCAAAACGTGCCGGAGCCTGTGAGTCAGACTTCAAGTACTTTAGTCTCTACCCTCTCTTCAGAACCCAACAGAAGCCTAGAAGCTCTCTTTCATCCTTGCTGCTAAGCTAAGTTGGTTCTGACTCACAGCAACCCTGTTATAGGGTTTCTAAGTAACGACTACTGAGTTTGAACCACTGATCTTGTGGTTAGGAGTTCAGTGCTTATCCTACAGCACCACACCAGGGCTCCTTAGTAGCCCTTTGGTGTTTTCTCTCTCTCCTGCTGATTCAAGCCCTCTGATCCTTTTAAGCAACCATGATCTATTCAGCGTCCACATAGTCCAAATGCCATATTCCGTCTTCCTCCCAGATACCTCTTGCCAAGGAAACCCAAATAATAATGTATAATAAAATAGTATAAACACTCTCCCCTTTGTACCAGCCTATGAAGGGGAGCAACAGCTTCATTATTCCCACAAGTAATAATCTCTCGTTCCCTCCACCAAAATCCTATCACATACCTACAAATGGGGGCAAGCAAGTCTAAGTCCATGAGAAAACCAGAAAGAGGCATACAATCCCATCATGCAAAGAATTGAACCTTATATCTATTTATTAGACACCAAACTCCTTAACCATGCCCTAGGGTCCTATGCCCCAGGCTCCAATCCCAGCAGCCTCCAGTCCCATCTGGGGAGGTTTGAAGAAAGGTATGCTGGGAGTTGTAAGCATTTTATAAGCTTGCTCAGCCAAACTGGGGGCTGGTGGCAGATACATTCTTAGGGAACAAGTGGAGGTTTACATACTCCCAGCCACAGAACACCAACTATTTGGAATACCCCATTTCCCCCTAAATTCACCCTCATCCCTGTTTATGGAAAATCTTGTATCCAGATAAAATACTGGCTAGCATGGATTTAATTTACGTAGAATTGAGAAAAGTAGAGCACCCTGTAACCATGGGGCCATAGACAGGGCCAACAGAATCAACATCAATTTCCTTTGAGGAGTCCTTATGCAGCCATTCCGTTCCCTAATACCCCAGCCTCTGTTCCCCAACCAGGCCCTACTTTCCTGCCTCAGTCTGTTCCAGAGTGACCATGCATTAATTTATTGGGGGGAGGGGGGTAGCGGGGGAGGAGGAGGGCAGTGTAAAGAGATGGTAGGTGGTGGGAAGAAAGCAAGGAAATCCAGCAGGAAACAGGGTAAAGGCTAAAAATAAAAAAGCAGAGAACTTATAATAGGATAGAGTTAAAAAGGGATGGTGCTGAAGGAGACCAATCTGTGAAAATAAACATATGAAGGAAATAGGAATAGAAGTAGCGAGGAGTGAAAAAGCCAAGAGAATATGGAAGGTGGGAACTCTATGCAAGCAGGAATGGGAGAGAAAGAATAGAGAGCAGAGTGTAAGGAGGCAGTGTCGAGACTCCGGGAGAAAAGAGGGGCTGGGAGAGAAAGGAGAGTGACAGGGAACATGAAAACCGAGAAAGGAGAGGACGGGAAGTAAGGAATGCAAAAAGCAAAGATGTGGGATAAAAGCAGAGTGGGAGAGACTCGACGCCAAGATTGGTGTCAAGAGACGGGAACAGGAGTGCTGGGGGATAGGAGGGGGTCCAATATGGAGAAAAAGAGGCTTTCGTAGAAAATGACCCGAGGGGCGGCCCACCCCAGGGCGGCGGCGGGTGTGAGTGAGGCCCCCAGAAAGGAGTGCGGGGCCAGGAGCGCACAGGGTGGGAATTACGACCCAAGGCACGAGAATCACCCCATGAAGCAAGGAAGATGAGTGGAAAGGGAAAGGAACAGGATATAGACCCTGAGAGTAGGACTAGGGGTGTAGGACCGGGGTTGGGGGACAACAGAGGGGGAGGGGCGGGCAGGCCCCGGCAGCAGGAGGACAAAATGGCGGCGGCTAATGGCAGCTTCTCCTCCCCCCCCGGCCGTCGCCGCCGCCGCCGCCGCCACAGCCACCACCGCTCCCGCGCCGGAAAAGGGCGTCAGCCCTCGGCTCGCACAGACTCACCTGGCCGGGTGCACGGAGGCCCGGGACCGGTGCCTAGGGGCTCCCCGGTACGGGATGGCGGTGGGGTGGGGGCGGATGGCGGCGGATGGCGCCGGGTTCGGCTCCTCCCGTCTCCCTCGCTCACTCCGCGGCTGCTCTCCGACTAACGGCCCATCCGGGCAACCGCCGCCCCCGGGAGCGCCCCCCCACCTCCCGCCTCCCTCCGCGGCAGAACACGCCTACTAATCTGCATAAAGGGCGGAGCGTCTTCTACCCTGGCCCTCTTTCCTGCCAAGATTGTCCTTATTTTAAAAAAGGCTGGGCGTGCGGAGCATGCGGGGTTATTTGCATAAGGAGGAGGGACTTACAGATACAAGACAGCGATTGGCTGAGGAGGCGGGTCTCCGGCGTCGGCCGTTGATACGTGTAGAGGGGGTGGGAAGCAGCGCTGCCGATCGGCCGGTCGGGCGGTTGGGACGCAGAATTTACACGACGAGTTGGGGAGGAAGAGGCGGGGCGTGCGTCTTGCGTTCGTGGAATGAGGGGAGCGGAGGGACGTAGGGAACCGACAGTAGAAGGGAGCGGCGTAAGATCTGTGGCGCTTTCAGAGGCGGAGAAGACGGGAGCCGGGAGAAATTAGCTGCCGGCTGCGGGGATTATTTGCCAGCGGGCGGAGTTTACGTAGACCAGGGAAAAGTCATGACTCATGCCTTCCTTTTATTAAATCACATCATGCAAATGAGGTGGGTAGACAGGCCAATCGTAGAGTCCATCGGAGACCGTCATCAACACCACACAGTGTAGGCCTTCTTTAGGTTGTTCGATTTATTTGCATAAATATATGCAAATAATTCAAACAAAGATACAGCAATGAATGAATGACCTATTCACCAAAATGTCTGCAGCCTATGGCTAAGATGAACAATTATTTTTTATAAAATCGTTTCAATGATACTTATATATTTGATATTAGTGGTAATTTGTATTCACAATGGGTTTCACTTCACAAAATGTAGTTGTTAAGTACCATGGAGTCAGTTCTGACTCATGGTGACCCTGTACAGGGTTTCCGAGGCTGTAAATCTTTACCAGAGCAGAAAGCCTCATCTTTCTCCCGCGGAACAGCTGGTAGTTTCGAACTGCCGACCTTGAGGTTAGCACCCCGATTCATAACCACTGCGCTACAAAATGTAGTAGTACTAGTAGATTTCTCCTTTGTCTTCTATTACTTGACTGTAAACCCCTCTACTCTAATCAGCCCTACTACCCATCCAATAAAGTTTGAAGGCCCACTCAAGTCAGTGTTTACACAGAATGTTAAAGAATTTCAGAGAAAGAAAATCCGGCCATTCCTGGAGAGATTTAGAGACCCTTCTAGAATAACATGACTCCTAGTAGGAGCTATGAACAACTAGTTAGAATTTAGCCAAGTTTGAGGTTGTTGTTCGGTTACCATTTATGAGTTGGTTTCAACTCATAAAGGCTCAAGTACAACAAAACAAAATACAGCCGGGTCCTGTGCCATCATCAATGGCTGCCATGTTTGAACCCATTGTTGCAGTCACATTGTGAAACCATCTAATTGAGGGACTTCCTCTTTTTTGCTAACCCTCTACCAAGGTGCTCTGGAGAGAGCAGTGGGTTAAGGATTAGATCACTAACTATAAGGTCGATGATTCAAACCTACCAGCTGCTCCTCAGAAGAAAGATGTGGCTGCTTCAGTCAAAATTTACAGTCTTAGTAAAAGACTAAGAAAAAGAACTCATTCCAAAGGTGGGGGGGGGAGGGAGGAGGTGGGGAATTCTTTGATGGATGTGGGGAGTGGGGTGAGGGGAGGGAGGGGAAGGTGGAGCACAGGGTAGGGAATAGGCACAGGATAGTTTGGGTGCTAGGGAGAGGGACAATACACAAGAAGGGGGAGGGGAATGGAAGAATAAAGCAGACCGGAAAACAGTTAGGCAGGTTTGGTGGGCTAAGTGGGACAGAGGTAAATAATGATGTATGAACAACCTTGGAACAACAGGGCTCTGGGATACAGGGATTGAGACATGGTTGAAATGGGCAAAAGGGGGGAAATAATGTTAGGACGTTTGGCTGTCTTTTGAATCTTGACTTCCCTGATATACCATTATAAAATAAACACTTGATGGGTAGAGAAAGGAATAGCTAGAATTATCACCATAGAAAGCTTATAAGTCAGTCTTCTGCTTGTAACTGATTGGAATACCTAAAATGGGGCTACAGTGGGCCCAGTGAAGGAGGCTTCCTGCAGAGCCCCTGCATTACATAAGACCATAGGTGGAATCCTGAACAGCATCCAGAATCTTCTGAGGTGGAAAATTTGCACTTGAAAGGACAAGCAGACCAGCCTGGAGTGGCTAGAAGAACAGAAGATACTTCTTGAAAGAAAGACCTACAGGAAAAATACAAAACAATAATGGCAGTCCTACTGATTACTACAAGAATAAGTTGCTCACCCAGGAGACATTAAGGCAAGTGGTCTGGTCCCCTCAGAGCAAACCCCCTTCCAAGACTAATACTCAATGAGAATACATGCTCTGATTGGTGACCACGTTCCTCACTGATAAGGGGAAGTGAGGGAAGAACATCAATGAAGCTATGACCTAAGCCCTACAACATTCAATAGACACCTGTGAACCCGGGTGGAGACCTGGTTGGCCAGCAGTATGGCAAGACCTGGGGACTCTTGGGCCCAGAGTCAGTGACATAGCCACAGAGGACTAGAGTGGAGAATGAAGCATCCAGCTGATAAGAGAGGACATATGCATAAGAACACCCACACTTGCAGATAATACCCACTTATCCTGGCTTCAGTGACTGGATGATCAGAGCTCAACTAGAAGAAGAAAGAAGAGGAAAAAAAGAGTAATCTGACAATATGATGAACTTGACCTATACCTATGGATGCAGTAGTTCAAAAGAGGGAACAAATCTTTACAGTGAGGATTATTCCCACCCCCTCCATACACAGTGTAGACAGTGATAGGCAACTTGGACATTGGCTACCCAAAATGGTGGGGGCTACAAAGGCAAGAAGTGACTGGCTTACAAGCTTTCAAGAGGGAGCCTAGATCCAGAGGGCGTGGAGGAAGGTAGAATCTCCACTGAGTAGTAGCTAATCTGTCTGGGCGGGGCTGATGAAAGGAGATGTGGATAGATCTCTTATGATACAATAGTGAATAATTATTATCAGGACTGATTGTGAGGATTGGAAATGTACAGGTAGAGGTTTTGTAGCAAAAGGAGGAGAGTGACTGACTTTGCAATCCAGGAGCAGAGGTTCCTGGGACCAACAAGGGAAAAGAGCAGAGAGCAGGACCCTACCCAGCAAAGCAGTGACACCAGAGATGGAGGCAGAGATGATGATGTGGAGAGATGGAGCAGCTGGGGACTTTAGACCCAGAGAGAGAGAGAGGGGCTGTGTGCTGATGACCGGGAGGCAGGCTTGCAGGTATACCCTTTGGTTGGTTGATGATGCATAGAGGGGATTGTAACTGTGATAGTGAAACAATATACGATAGGATGAATGTAAAGCTAATGTTCTTCCATGTAAACGATCACATAATTCACAGTAAGACATTAAAAACAAACAAACAAACCAGACAAACAAACAATTTACAGTCTTAGAAACCATATGGGAGCAGTTCTACTCTGTCGTATACAGTCACTATAAATCAAAATTAATTTAAAAGCAGTAGGTTTGGCTTTGATTTTCTATTTTACCAGGCATCATGTTCTCCAGAGACTAGTTCCTCCGGTTGACATAGCCAAAATACATAAGATGAAGTCTTGCCATCTTCTGAGGAACATTCTGGTTATACTTCCAAAACAGATTTGTTCTTCTGGCAGCCCATCATATAAGAGGGGACTTAAAAAAATTCCTGGAAAAATTAAATTATCTTTTACTGCCATTTTATGCATGAACTTTCCCTCATATTCTTTACTGTTTGTCAACACCACAATTCAAATGCATCAGTTCTTTGGTCTGCTTATTGTCCAACTCCCAGTTGCATATGAGGCAATTGAAAATACAATGGCTTGAGTTTAGTGCACTTTAGTCCTCAAAGGGACATCTTTGCTTTTGAACACTTTAAAGAGATCTTTTGCAGCAGAATTGCCCGGTGCACTATGTTGTTTGATTTCTTAACTGCTGCTTCCATGAGCATTGATTGTGTAGTCAAGTAAATGAAGTAGTTCACAGCTTCAATGTTTTCTCCATTTATTAAATGAGCAGATGAACAAAGTCATGGGTTTGAAGACCCATGCTTATGGTGGTGTGACTAAATAAAGGGAATGGCTTTCTGTTAGTGTTAGAAAAGTTAGCAGGAATCAGATATATTTTTCCTGTGGCACAGTAAGACATTTAAAACAACTTCAGTTCTTAAATTTCAAAATTGTTTTTATCCCCTCTGCCTAGTCAGCTACCACTTAATTTCTTTGCTTCCCTTTTCAGGAAAGCTTCTTGGAAAAGGTACTCATACAGTCTCCTATTTCTTTACTCCCATTCTCTCTTAAACCCACTCCAAATGTGCTTTCACCCCACTTTACAAAAACTATATGTTCAAGGACATCCAGTCTCATGGCTTGAAATAGGATTTATGCCCTGATGACTCCCAAAGGTATATCTCCTTCCCAGACCTTCTCCTGAACTCTGGAATTGCACAGACAACTATGTACTTGACATCTTCTCTTGGGTATCCAATGTTGTTAAGTGCCATAGAGTCGGTTCTGACCCATAGTGAGCGATCCTGTATAGGGTTTCCAAGAAGCAGCTGGTGAGCTTGAACCTCTGACCTTGCAGTTCAAATGACTTTGCAGTCTAACACATTAGCCCACAGTGCCACACCAGGACTCCAATAGATCACTTCAAATTCAGTACATCCAAAATTGAACATTTGCTCTCTGATTCCACCAAACCTGTTGCAGTGCAGTGAAATTCGTAATATGACTCTTCTAGCTATATGCAACTTCGGGCTGAAGTGGAAGAAAATGAAAACAAGTCCACAAGAGTCAAATATGACCTCGAACATATCCCCCACCTTGACTTTAGAGATCGTCTCAAGAACAGATTTGATGCATTAGACACTAGTGACTGAAAACCGAAGAGTTGACATCAACAACATCATACAGGAAGAAAGCAAAAGGTCTTTTTGATGTGTCTCTTATAGACAACATATGGAAGGATACTGTTTTCTCATCCATTATGTTATCTCTGTCTTTTGTCTAGTGCATTTAATCTATTTACATTCAGTGAGCGTAGTGGCTTTGATTCGGGCTGCTAATCTTATGGTTGGTTAGCAGTTCAAAACTACCAGCTGTTCTGTGGGAGAAAGATAAGGCTTTTTGCTTCCATAAAGATTTACAGCCTCGGAAACTTCTGTACAGGGTCGTTATGAATTGGAACTGACTCCACGGCACGTAACAACAACAACAGCAATGAATTAATTGCTGTCATTTAGCTGTGTGTTTTTTGTGCTGCTGGTTTCTTCGTTCCACATAATTTTCTGTGCTGAGTTCATTTTATTTATGGGGTTTCTGTTCATTTTCTTTATTTCTGTTGTGTTAATGTCTACTAAATCTTTCTACTAAAACTTTCCTTTATTTTGATGTGAACATGTATTAATTTTCTTTGAGGTTACCCTGTTAATTTATTTAAAAATTTTCCCATATAATACAGTCTTTTATCTTGAAATCTACTTGACTTCCTCTCCATTTGGAAGTTCTGTACCTATACTATTCCCTCCTTTTGCTTTGTAGTTGACTTCATTATAAATTAATATCTCTGGTTTTTCAGTCTTTTTTCATTTTTTGTAAGTGGTATTGTTTTCCTGATTTTCTTTTCAGAGTTCTCTTTGTTAGTGTAAAAGAATTCAACTGATTTTTGTATATTGATCTTGTATTGACACTGCTGAACTTTTCAATGAGTTCCAATAATTTTCTTGCTGAATCTTTGGGATTTTCCATGTATAAAATTATGTCACCTGTATATAGTTTTCCTTCTTCATTACCAATTTGAATGCCTTTAATTTCCCTTTCTTACTTTGTAGCTCTGGTAAGACTTCAGTACAATATTAAATAGTGGTAGTTATAAAGGGCATTCTTGCCTTTCTATTGAAAATAGTGTTGACCATTGGTTTTAAATATATGTCTTAAATATGTAGAGGATTTTCCATTCTGTTCACTCTTTTTTGAAAACTGTTTTATTGTGAATTGTGTGATAGTTTACATGGGAGAATATTAGCTTTACATTCATCCTATCATATATAATTTCATTGCCATGGTTACAATCCCCTCCATGCATCATCAGCCAACCAAAGGGTATACACTACAAGCTTGCTCCCCCAGTCATCAGCACACAGCCTTTCTCCCTCTCTGGGTCTAAAGTCCCCAACTGCTCCATCTCTCCACATCAATGTCTCTGCCTCCATCTCCGGCATAGCTGCTTCTCTGGGTAGGGTCCCACTCTCTGGTCTTCTCCCTTGATGGTCCCAGGGACCTCTGCTCCTAGACTGAAAAGTTAATCACTCCCCTTCTTGCTACAAAACGTCTACCTTTACATTTCCAACCCTCACAATCAGTCCTGATAACAATTGTTCATTATTGTATCACAAGAGACCTATCTGTATCTCCTTTCATCAGCCCCACCCAGTCCTGCCACATGATTTTTACATCTGTAATGTCTCTCCATTTGTCTCAGAGTAAAAGCCAAAGTTCCTACAGTGGCTTACAATGTTCTAGATGATCTGGTTCCAATTATGTTTCTGGCTTTATGTCTTTATTTACCTTCCTGTTATGAGGCATGGTCTCACCTTGGAGCCTTTCTGTTGACTTTTCTTTCTGCCTAGTTGACTCTTCTCCAAGAAATCTTTTTTTTTAATTAAATGTTTTTATTTTGGATTGAGTGAAAGTTTACAGGGCACATCATCAGCTTCACATTCAACCATTCATATAGCTTGTTTCATTGTTTCATTACATTGATTATTATCCCCTCCATATATCATCAGTTAACCGTGTTTCTCTCTATCCTCTTTAGTTTTTTTTTGGATGGGGGGGGGCACTTGCCTTTTTGGAATTTACAGTCTCGGCTTTTAGGGAAGGTTTTTACATTTGTCTGTGGATATCCAGGGCTCATATATGAGATTACTAACAAGCATTACTGAATAATCAGATGAGGGACAGTTTGCTATGTCTACTAGGTAGCTAATGTCTGATCCTCAGAGCCTATGGTTTGGATGGTCAACAACGCTTGGGACCACAGGGGCTTGGCCTCCTGACCAGGTCTGCACGGTCTGCATCCGAATCCTCCTTATTTATTGTTTGTTTAAGGGACGCTGCCTGTCTTAGGCGGTCAGTGCGAATTCCTCAGTCTTACCAGTCATTGAAACTCACTGCAGCATGGCAATGGCTCTGTCTTAAGTTGCCGAGGTTCCACGTGATCCTTACCCGTCTCTGGCCATACGTCTAGCATAAACAGCCGCCATCCAAGGAAGGGAGGGAGGAGATCGGCTGGGGACCCCATACGCAAGACGTTGCCGGCCCACCACCTGCTCTAAGGTGACCAAGCAGGATCACTATGCTGAGGTTCAATCAAGTTCTTAGGGGATCCAAGAAATCTTTTACTACGTCAATAAAACCAGTACTTCCATTCATCTGGCCATTCACTCATTTGAGTTTTAGACATTACTGAGGGCTTGTGATATGTCAGGAGTCCTGATAGTTCAATGGTTAAGCACTTGGCTGCTAACCAAAAGATCAATGGTTCAAACTCCCCAGTCACTACATGGGAGAAAGATGTGGTCTGCTTCTGTAACGTTTGCAGCCTTGGAAACCCTTTAGATAGGGTCGCTCTACTCTGTCCCTTAGGGTCACTATGAGTTTTCTTTTTCATTTTTTTATTGTGATTTGAGTGAAAGTTTACAGAACAAATTGATTTTCCATTCAACAATTTATATTTATATTCAACATTTTGTTTCGTGAGGGTAGATATGTATTAGAGTCAACTTGGCTTTTATATGTCAGGCACTAAAGTATAGGTCATACTATCCTCATTTTCAGATGAAAGACTCAGGCTGAGTACTTTGCCAAGGTCACAAAGGTTATAGTGGTGGTGGTGGTGGTGTGCTGTGGAGTCGGTTCTGACTCACAGCAACCCTATATAGAGTTTCTGAAGCTGTAAATCTTTATGGGAGCAGAAAGCCTCATCTTTCTCCCACGGAACAGCTGGCAGCTTCAAACTGCTGACCTTGAGGTTAGCAGCCCAACTTGTAACCACTACACTGCCAGAGCTCCTTGGAAAACATTGGTTCAAGGATGGTTCACTTGCTCTTCATAAAATTGACCAGAGCCTGAGTGGTAAATTTTTTTGTCTGTGCAAGTCTTTTCTTCCGACCTAAATTCCATGAGGACAAAACTATCTTATACATCTGAGTTCCATTCTATGCATAAACCCATCTACATTTACTAGTAGGCATGGTACGTAATTATGGATGGATTGTTCCTTGCTGCTCTTCCCTTGAAGGTGCTTCTTCCCTCTCCCAGGAAAAACAAATCTCCCCACAAAAGACCAAACTGACTGTTTCTGGAGGAGGAGGGTGTTTTATTTCACTTGCAATTTGACTCTAGCTTACAATTTAGTCTTCTTCCATATTGAGGTCATTAGAAGTCCCTTCATTCTCACCTCACCCCCCAAATCAGGGCAACTCTGAGATAGCCTTCTTGGCTGGGGCACCTGTTGGTTTCTCCTGTTCTCTTGCTTTCTTCTCATACATCAGGATCCTAGTTGAGTTGGAAAGAGACACACAGATCAGGGAACATTCCTCTCAAGAAAATGATCTTAGACTGCTTGGAAAATCCTGGAGTGGGTGGAAGTTGTGAGGGTGAAAGAAGGAGGAAGAAGGATGGAAGTTCTGGGAGCTGTGAGGACCAAGATCATGGATGGAGATGGGTGGAACCTTGGAAGGGCCTAAGGATGGAAGAAATGGAGCTGGGGAATGTGTTGAAGATAACTTAGAGATAGGAAGGGGCAGGGAAAAAACAAGCAAGTATGGGGGAGGCTGGAACTGAACTCTCACATTTTTAGGATGCTGCATCTATTGCCCAACATCATCTTGAGGAAGTCAAGGTAGCTGAATGTCTCCCCAGAGCCACCAGACACCTCCTGGATTAGTTTCTTTAGCTCCAGATGGGTCCTGGCGACCCCAAGTTTCTCCATCATTTGCTTCAGAGACATGATATCTGGTGACAAAGGATGGGGGAGGGGAGAAGAAGATCAATCAGCCATTCTCTTTCCTTCCCCATCTCCCTGTTCCTATTCCCCCTCCTTTTACTATGGTAGGTAGAGAACCTAGGGGAGATCTCTTCCTTCCTAGGTCTGCACACTTCCCCCAAATCACCCTTTTCTCACCAATATCTCCGTTTCCGTTCAGGTCAAACTCCATGTACTTCTCTAGGTGGGAGAGAGAGCAGGGAGGGTGATTGCTGGCCAGAGGCCCACTGGCAGTGTTGAGGGCTGGGCATGGATTGAGGAGGGGATTGCTGAGAGAGTGCTAGGTAAGGAGAAGCTGTGGAAGGAGAGTATCCCAGGGAAGGGTATAGGGAGAGAGTTCGGGATTAAGGACTCTGTTAAGGCGTGGGGACCTAGAGAGCAGAATGAGAAGTGCAAGTCAAGGAGAAGGACTGCATTCAAGGGGGTAGCTTTCCCTTTTCTCACCACAAAAGTTTTGTGCCTCAGTTTTCCCTTCTCCTTTTTTGGGGGGAATCCTACTGCCTTCCCCACCCCTCCAATTTCCCTGCTCACTCTTGAAGGCTTCCAGCTTGGAGGGCAGCTCCTCATCACTGCTGTATTTAGGATCATCCAGGAATAGCTGTGTGTGTGTGGTAGAGGTAGAGAGGAAGGGTTCTGATAGAGGCCTCTCCCCGATTCCAGGGTCCCCTTCCCCAGGTCTTACCAGCTTAGTTCTTTCTTTTACCTTATTAATTTCTTCCAGTTGCTCTTCCTGCTGGGCCTTCAGCTGTCCAAAAGCTTTGCCCCCTGAGCAAGCACAAAGGTTCAGAGGCCGTGGACCCACCACTGATTTGACTTAACTCCCAGCACCCAAGTCCAAGGCTGTCTTATCTCCTTGCCTAGTTTTATGCTCCTATCTGCTCCACCTTTCTTACCTTGGAAATCCCTGCTTTGGCTCATGGTTCCACAGGTGCTGGCAGATGAAAGGGGGCAGATGGAGCTAGCCAGCTCTCTTCTGCAGGCTTGTCTCTCCCACTGGCTTCTGAAGAGACTCAGCTTCCCCTTTCCTCTCAATCCCTCCTCCTCTGCCTCTCCGGCCTCATTTCCTCCTCAGCTTCTGCTGACACTAACACCAAGATGAAGGGGGAGTTGGTGTAGAGTTGAGATGAGAAAACAATCTCCTCCCAGATGCCTCTTAATGAGAGCCCTGTGTTTGCATAGAAGAAACATTTTGATAAACCACTGGAGGTTTTGGGGAAGAGGCAATAAGACCCCCAAGCAAAAGCCATTATAGTCAAGTCCATTCAAACTCATAGCAACTCCATGTGTTACAGGGTAGAACTGCTCCATAGGGTTTCCTTGGATGTACTCTTTAGGGAGGGGAGTGCTGGTAGCTTTTTAGATAAACACTGGACTGCTAACCACAAGGTCAGCAGTTCAAAAACCCACCAGCTGCTCCATGGGAGAAAGGTGAGGTTTATTGCACCTTTCAAGGTTACAGCCTTGGCACTCTGTGTAGGGTTGCTGTATAGAGTCGGCACCAACTCAACAGCACATAACAACAACAGCAATAATCTTTAGGGAAGGAACCCTGCTGATACAATGAGTTGTGCTTTGTACTGCTAACCAAAAGTTCTGCTGCTGAAATCCATCAGCCACTCCTCAGGAGAAAGATGAGGCAGTTCACTTCTGTGAAGATTTACAGCCTCAGAAACCCTATAGGGTCATTGTGAGTCAGAATCCACTTGACAGAGTGGGTTTAGTGGAATTGTTAGGGATACAGATCACCAGGCCTTTCTTTTGTGGTGCCACTGGTTGGGTTCAAACCATCAGTTGTTAGATTAGTAGTCCAGCACAAACTATTCAGACCATCTAGGGATCTGTAAGACCCAAGGAATATATATTCTCAGGAACAATTTGCTTTCAAACAGATCCTGTAGTTCAGGTAGCTAGGAGACCCTTCTTTGTGTTGGTTTTCATGAGTCTGAGCATGCAGGTTTGGATAGAAAGCTAAGGCAGGGCTGGCTCTGTAACAGGCAAAGAATCTGAAATCTGGGAGCTCTGAGAGCAGGACGATAAAAGTGTAGGGCCTAGAAAAGACGAGAAACCTCACTCCCAACCCAGCAGCTCCAGAGAGGGACTTGGAAGTATGGAAATGTCTGGCAAAGTTTTAATTTGCTTGCTGGAAGATGTGTAGTAGAACTCCCTTATCTTACCCCCTTTGAAATCTTTAGTAAAATCTACAGAACTCAGGACATGGAAAGTGTAAGTAGAGTCTTTGGGGCAAGTGGTGCTGGTCACTGTGGGTTCAACAGAGTAGGTGAGTAGCATTCTCTAGACATACTCTTTATCCCATTTGCTACTCTGTTTGCCTAGATGCTTCCAGAAGTGAGGACAGTACATCCTTTATCCCTGAGACCTCTTTGTCAAAACTCCCAGCCCAGAGCTCCATCCTTCTGGTCCCAGTATTAGTGGAGACACCTTTCCTTCTGACTCCCCATCCCTAGCCTATTTCCCCTTTGCAATGAGAAGTTTTTACTTCTTATTGCCCTTTCCCTGACCCATGCAGATGGACAGAGAGAACTGGGGTGAACTCTTACTTCTTGATTTCCTTTTGTTGCAACTGCCTGCTTCCCCTGTAGAGAGAGCTGCAACCCAGCACTCACAGTAGTCTCAGGGCCCAATGGGAATTCATAAGTTTATTCCTATGTTCATTCAACAAATATTTACTGAGTGCTAATAGTGTAGTGATTACGTGTGGGGCTGCGAACCACAAGGTCAGCAATTAGAAACTTACAGCTGCTCCGCAAGAGAAAGGTGAGGCTTTCTGCTCCCGTAAAGATTTACAGCCTCGGAAATCCTGTTCAGGGTCGCTATGGGTCGGAACCAACTCGACGGCACTTAACAACAGTGATATGTCAGGCACAATTCTAGGCCCAGTGAGCTAAACAAATAGAGTCACTAGGCCTTTTGGGTAACTTAGGGAAGACAGACAATAAAAGGAAGTATGGATAGTGGCGATGCTGATGACTGTGCAACAAGGGGAGCATAGTTGCTGTAGTGGATTGTACAGGTAACAATGGTTGCAATGGCAAATGGAAAAAGGTAAATTAAAGGTGGTAGGTGGCTATGGAGGAAGAGAAAGTTGGAAAGGAGGAAAGGAAGTGGTAGCAGATGGCTGCAGCTTTAAATAGGATGGTCAGAGAAGGCTTCTCTGAGAAGGTGATATTTAAGTAAAGATTTCAAGAGGGTGAGGGAAACAAAGCATCTGAACATCTGAGAGGAGACCATTTCAGGGCAGGGAAAGAGCAAGTGCAAAGGCCCTGAGGTGAAAGCATGTCTGGACATTATGGGATAGCAGGAAAGCAATGGGAGCCAAGTGCATAAGGGGAAAAAGGGAAGAGACAAAGTCAGATTAGGTAAGGCTTTGCAGGCCATTGTGAAGACTCTGGGCTTTTATTCTGAGTGAGATTGCCTCTCAGGGTGGTCTAACCATCAAGGATGGCTTGGCAGCCTACCATGATGGAATAGAGTATAGATGCTCAGTAAAAATCTGGGATAGAAAAGTTAGACATCTGCTCTGACTGGGACAAAAGTGAAGACTTAAAGTTGACTAGAAGAATAAGAAAGGAGCCTTGGTATTATTCACAGACTAGAGGATATTCACTTGTTAACATAGGTGATGAGGCATGCAATCAATATACAACAAGAGGGAGGTTGGCAGAGGAAAGACAAAGGTAGCTGGAGATACAGGAAAGAATGCAAGAGTTAAAGTAAATACTGATAGTATTGATTAACTGATAGTACATGGAGGGGATTACAATCATTGTAATGCAGAAAGGTATATGATTTGTTGAATGTAAAACTGATGATCTGCTCTGTAAAGCTTCACTTAATTCACAATAAAATGTAAAAGAAAAGAAGTCAGCCATTGAAAACCCTGCAGAGCACAGTTCTTCTCTGGCACACATGAGGTTGGCATGAGTCGAATTGACTTGATGGCAACTGGTGGAGTACTGCCATCCCTGGTAACCACTAATAAGCCTTGGTCTCTGTACACTTGCCTATTTCATGTAAATGAATCATACAGTATTTGTCCTTTTGTGACTGACTTATTTCACTCAACATAATGATTTCAAGGCACATCTATGTTGTATCAGAACTTCATTTCTCTTTATGACTGATATTCCATTGTATGTTGTTGTTGTTGTCAGGTGCCATCAAGTCGGTACCTACCCATAGTGACCTTATGCACAGCAGAACAAAACAATGCCTGATCCTGGGCCAACCTCACTACTTACTGTTGCCACAAATGCCACTACTGTCCATGAATGCTGCCAATCGCCAATCCATCTCGTTGGGGTCTTCCTCTTTTCATCTGACCCTCCACCTTAACAAACATGATATCCTTCTCCAGTGACTAGTTCCATCTGACAATATATCCGAAGTATGAGAGATGAAGTTTGGCCATCCTGGCCTCCAAGGAGCAATCTGGCTGCACTTCTTCTAAAACGGATCTATTGGTTCTTTTGGCAGCCCATGGCACTTTCAATATTCTCCTCCAACACCATAACTCAAATGCATCAATTCTTCTATGGTCTTCC